TTTATTCCCTGAAAAACATTTTAGTAATGGAACGGTCAGTTCAAAAAACTTGCTTGTTTTTTCCCTAAAATGATACGGAGTAGCAATTATTTAGAACTTTTTTATTGTCATATAACAATAAAAAAAAATGTAACATATATATATATATATATATATATATATATATATATATACACACGTGTGTGTGTGTGTGTGTGTGTGTGTAAAAGGAAAATCTTGGGATAAAAATATTGGATACATATTTACACATTTCTCAGGAATTTTCTCAGGTTGCATAAACCGCTTAGACTAGGCTTAAAAAGTTAGTCTTCACAGTCTTAACATAGCGGCTATGTTTAAGCAAAGGTAAGCCCTTGGTTCTGGCTGGTTGTTAGTTGCAGTTTGCAGGCAGTTCCCTTTCGAATGGGAACTCGTGCTGTATCCCCTAGAGGGCGCTATGGGGAATGCCTCCGGCATGACCAGTGTCTGAAGCATGAGTCTGGCAAGCGGCAGCCTATGACGTCACAACTGGTGTGGTCGAGAGTATTAAAGGGCACCTGTGAAATATCAAGTCAAGTCAAGTCAAGTCTGCTTTATTGTCAATTCTTCCACATGTACAGCACATACACACAGAGAATTGAAATTGCGTTACTCTCAGACCCTTGGTGCATACAGATAACACTAGCAGTAGAACATAAATACAGATATACAGATTAAGTATAAAATACAACTATACAAATATACAAATAAGGTAAAATGTAAAAAAATATATAAAAAAATATATATAAAGCAGCACACGGCACATGGCAGATAGAGTGCAAACCAGTGAAGTAAACAACAGTGCAGATATAATGATTTGTAGTGCAAAAAGAGCTTATTTAGACTGATTAAAGTGACTGTGTGTGTGTATTTGGGAGGGGGGAGTGGGAGAGTCCGTCAGAGTTGTTGAGGGATGATTGTGTTGAATGCTGAACTGAAGTCATCCTCTTGTCATCCTCTTTCTTGTCTTCAGGAGACCGTTTGTTTGTACATGAATTAGGAGCATGCACATTTAGCTCCTGAGAGAGCAGAATGCGTGCATTGAAGGATTTCTAAATGAAAGCTCTGTTCGTGCCATCCCTATTTTCGAGGAATGTGGGATGTGTTTTTGGGTTGAACGAGCAAGCTGGATGTGCTAGGTATAATGATTCATGAGACTGACTACAAGAGACAGGTAGGAACTTCTTCCTTTCTGCTCTCTCCTGAGGGATAGTAGTTAGCATTTGCATGAGCGCATTCAGCTCTCTTCATATTCTGTGAGGTGGTTAGTTCTCAGCAGTGATAGAAATAAACTTTTCTATTAAGCGCCTTAAGCCACTCAGATTAATTCGCATCTGTTCTCGTATGATTCTTTTCAGAGTGATAGAATCTGTCATTTGAACTAGCCTGCTTCAGGTTAAATGCATGCTTTTCACAATGTGGTCGCAGTAATTTGTTCCACCCTGGCTTGAGTCTCTTGAGGGTTAAGCGCAAGGTTTGTAGGCAGAGCACGGATGAGTCATACAGGAAATTTTCCTTTTTTTGGCTCCTCTTGTTGACTCAAATAACACTATTGTTCTTTATGTGTCTATTTCTGATGAATCAGAGACAGAAAAGTGCTGTAGTTAGGTAGTGCCCTAAGTTGTTAGGCTCTCTGTGAGCCTCCTTGTCTTCTGCAAGCATTGTTAGACCTCCTCCTGCTTTAGAGGGTTATCTTTATTGAGGCTTTTGCTCCATAGAGCTCTGCTAGGATAGCTATTGCCAGTTGTAGGCGCTCTGTGAGCCTCCTTTGTAAATGCCTTCTTTAAAATCCATGTTTATGGTAAGAGCACGTGCTGTTGCTTTGTGCCTTCTCTAAAATTCATGTTTATGGTAAGAGCATGCTGTGACTGCTTCCTGCTTTTCATGCGCCAAGTGCTTTGTGACCTTTCTATCTGTGTTAGACCCCAGTTGCTCTTAACCAGAATAGGTTTGTCAAGTTAACTAGGATCTCTGTGAGCATTGTTAGGCCTCCTCTCACTTGGAAAGTGTTAACTTACAGAGGCCTCTTCTCCCCGAAGCTCTGCTAGGATAGCATTGCGAGTAGTAGGCTCTTTCTGAGCCGCCTTGCATAGTATCCTGAGCATGGGATATCGTTAGTCTCCTCTCAATTTAGAGAGTCATCATGCTGGGGCCTCAGTCGTCATGCTGAGGATGTCTGTAAGCCTGCTTGCACGGTATCCTGTGCGCAGGGCATGGATAGGCCTCCTCTAGTTTTAGTGTCTTGTCATGCTGAGGCCTCCGCTCCTAGAGCTTGGCCATCTACTGTGAGTGTTGTCAGGCCTCCTCTCGCTACAGATAGTTATCTTCATTGAGGCCTCAGCTCACCAGAACTCCGCTAGTACAGTATCTGTGAGTTGTAAGCTTTCTGTAAGCCTCCTTACAGGATGTCCCGAGCGTGGGGTGTAGTTAGGCCTCCTCTCGTTTTGGGAGTCGTCATGCTGAGGCCTCCGCTCCTAGAGCTCGGCCATTTACTGCGAGCATTGTCAGACCTCCTCTCTCTACAAAGAATTATCTTCATTGAAAAGCCTCTCACGGCTCAGCACTGTTGTCTAACCGTGCCGAGAATTCCGGGCCGAGAATGGTTTGTAATCATGGAAATACAACTGGAACCGTACCTGACAGTTCTTAGAACCGTTCGGCCCGATAATGGAAAAGCGGCTTAAGATTGCGTTGCTGGTGCAGGGGTGAGGACTCCTTTGAGTCTTTTACTTATCTCAGCCAATAAAGCACTCATCCCTTCAGCATGGTTATACCATTCCCTATTGCACCCTCAGGTTCCCTGAGAAGGGGAACGAGACGCTGCATCTCTTTGCCATGCTTCAGGAATTCCTGCACATCTCTTTCAGACAATAAGTGGATGATATAATTCACAGGTGCCCTTTTATAATATCAACCGCACCAGTTGTGACATCATAGGTTGCTGCCTGCCAATGTCAAGTTCATTGTCGTGTTTAGACTCATGCTTCAGACACCGGTCATGCCGGAGGCATTCCCCATAGTGCCCTCTAGAGGACGCAGCATCTTGTTCCCCTTCTCAGGGAACCATGGCTACATGCGTAAACAAAACTTTACGATAATTTGACGTTTTGTTCTAAACTGCTCACACCCTCAAAAATATCGAAGGAACTCATAACTTTCTCAGGCACTACATCCTCAATAGTAATTTATTCATGATTACTCAGTATTACTTCATCTGTATTGCAGTAATGAAGTACAACTTAAATCTAATTTATCTTTTATTTTTTTCATTAGTCAAATAAAAGTAGCACAACAAGGTACTTAAAATTATTTAAATTAACTTAATACAATATATATATATATTTTTTGTCATCATTGGAATGATACATGGGGGAGGGAGCAATAGTTAATTGTCATGAAAATAATATAATGACAATTTTTATTTTTTATTTATTTACTTTTATGTTGTCTAAACTTATATTCTTCCAATTAGCTAAAGTTTATTTATTTATTTATTTTTTAAACAATGCTTTGTTTTGACTTAATACAAAGCATTCCCCCTAGATGACATTTGCATTACATTTGCCATATTTCCCATTAACTCGCTAACCTTTTAATATTAGAGTTCCTTGTGGTAGATTATGCACTTGTTTTCATTTTGTTCGACTAATTTGTTGGGTAAAAAAAAAAAAAACTTCATTGGGAAAATAAGTGAAACTGCTAATCAGTAACCCATATTAAGCTTATCTTGCTTAGTTAACTCTAAACACTCATTTATTAACACATCATATAATTATGTGTACACACAACCTGACCCCTGAACTCGTTCACACTTTCCACCATTTTTAGCAGTAGGCTAAAAAAAATACTGACAGATGCAATTACTGTTTGAAAGACGTGCACGCTAGTTTCTGACTTTGTGTTTTTGGCGAGCCCAGCCATCACCACAAGGGCTTCCTTGTAGGAAAAAAACAATTGAAGATTTTTTTAAAAAGTAAAGGGGCACATAGGCAATATTTTAAATTATCGCAGATGGAGAGTAAAAATTATGGTAGTAAAATTATGCATCCTTCAAAAGACCAAGAGTGTATCCTTTGTGGAAATACCAATACCAAAATGCATTGCACCAAATGCGAGAAATGCTGGATTGAAATGTTCTTATAATTTATTCAGTAGCACAAAATTATAAAGTTCAATCATTTTTTAAAACTTAGAAATATAACAGCAAACTGTAAGTTGCGCTATATAATCTCTTACATAAACCCTATTATTTGTGTCTTGTACAACCTCATTTAGACTCATGTGTGGTTACAATGACAGATACATGTGCTTTTCTATTTCAACTTCAACACATTTTGGCATGCCGGTAGAGTATATGAGTTTATACAGTCTGACACCCTGGTTTGCCTCTCTGTCATTCATACTCTACAGCATGCAAAATTAAGCCGCACCATTTATAATTAAAAATCTTGCATAACAGCTCAGCCAAAGTGCTGCACTGAATTTATGGGTCCTTGTTTTATAAATCTACAGATGGAAAAGTGTTTGGCCCTAGGTTAGAAACATGGCATGTGGACACAAATGTGACTAATACACAGACTATATAATATGGAATAATTTATCACTTTAAAATATTCTGAGAAGTATGTGCAGAGAATTGTATGCAACGTCTGTCTGCTTGAAGCACATCTAGCATTTACGCTGGCATTTTAGTGAATCTTGAGGTGCCTTGTGTGAAAGCCATCCTCAAAATAGTGTATGAACCCAACAAAAGGATCTTGGCATCAGGTGTAGCAGCTTTCTGCCAAACAAATCATCATTTCACTTGTCAGTTCTGATAAATGAGGAGATATCTCATAAAATAAGAGCAATCTTGGGTCTTACTGCTGCTTTTTCTTTCATTTACTGAGAGGATACGGTGTACTCAACCCTTTTATGTCAACCTACTTCTGCTACATCAATCTGAGTTTAATTTCACCAGAATGGATGTGTCTTTCCACTCTCATGACTCCCAAGTCAACCAGCGAGTGCCGTAGTGCAGTCTCTGCCTTAGGTTAAGTGACTTTTCATATAAGCGTTTAAGAACGTCTTCTCTACACACCTGCTATGCATTACAGCTACAATTAAACACCATGACCGCTTTAGGAGTGATGTCTTTGGAATTGAATTGAAACTACGATCAGCTTATGCCTGCACAATCTTCCTGTAGTCATCCTCAGGACTTTGTGTCCAAAATGATGTCACCGGGAAGAGTGAGGATCAAGCGAGCTAATCTTCAACAATTCCAGCCTCCTTAACTTTCAGAATCGTTTTGTATGCTTAAATAATTCAATGTAAAGCAGCTTAAATTTTCAACCTTCCCTGACAAAGACCATCCGGGGTCAAATAAAATTGAATTCTGCAAATCTGCACACTCAATAAAGATCCATTTTCTGCTGCAGTATGTTTAATCTCTAGGCTGCTTTTATAAACTGCAATGTGCCCGCTTTATTGATAATTGAAAGATGTTGGCTACAAATTCCAAATGTGTCCTCTGACCAAAATGTGATGACTGATGAATATGTTACAGCCAGCTGTGCTGATAAACCTTAAAGGATTGCTTCACACGGAATTGAAAATTCTGTCATTATTTACTCGGCCTCATGTTATTCCAAACCCATGTTGTTTTCTAGTTTTTTTTTCTTCTTCTTTTTCTGTGTAACACAAAAGGAGATTATTTAAATCATGTTCCCACAGCTCTTTTCTGTTCAATGTGACCATATAGCAAATAAACATGCAACAATCTATCTATCTATCTATCTATCTATCTATCTATCTATTTGTTTGAGCACTAGGTTGGAGGTTGAACTGTCATATGGAAAAAGCTGCATAAAGAACCTTTAAATCTTCAAAATTGTAATTATTTTGTCTTGTCTAGATCCCACTGGTGGAAGAGTATTGCTGATCATTGTAGCTTGCTTTAACCTCCACAACCTAGCACACAGAACCAACAGCAAGATGGGTGTCATAATGAACAATAATTATCATTAAATGTCATTGTAATTTTGAATGAAATAATCTGCCTCATCTGCCAGGTCTTTGAGGGCCTGTTTTAGTTTAGAGCCTGTGACTCCAAGGGATTTCAAGAAACGCTGGGTGGATGCTCCAGTGAAGTCCCTGAACCCAACTTCTATCAGGAATGTTAAGATTCATGCTTGTGAGCATGAAGCTGACAGTTCTACATACCTTTCGCTTTTCCTCTCAAAGCCAGCATCCATTCCTTTTTTCTCATGGCAGGGTCAGTTCTGCCAAGATGACCAATGTAGCAGAAGTGGACCAGAGCACAATGTCTGGCCGAAACAAGGTTGTGGTGATCTCCTGAGAGGGCTTCAACTGGCATTCAAGGTCAACAAGTAAGAGGAGGGATCATTACCACTTTTCCACTGGGGCTGGTGCCGGAGCTGGAGCCCAAATGGGAACCGGGCTGCGATTTTCCACTCAAAAAAATCCTGGTCCTCGTAGGCCCAGGTGTCCTCGAATAAAGCTTTCTACACACTGCACGATTTTAGCAGTCGTATAAGATCATTGCAAATCACACTGTACGACTGTACGATGATGACACGTAGTGACTCGTAGGCTACGACGCACGTTACTATAGAAGAATAAAACGTCATCAGCATGTGCTAGTGGTAAACCAAAATAGTGATGAATCACATTTTGGCAGTTGTAGTTTTTATGTATGCTGAAAAAAGTGGAATTGGCGAAAGAGGAAGGGATAAGAGTTTAAGGTATGCAGTTTTATGTTTTAGCGCCGTGTCGCGTTGATTTTAATGTCACATTTTTATTGGCTGATCAATAAACGTGGGCCGTAGGAGCAAACACACTGTGCGATGATCATGCTGAATTTCTGAAACTGTCAGAAAATGATCATAGGCTATCTTTGGTCGCAAGACCTTGACAACGGCCGTCTTTGAACCTCTCTCACTGTACGACATAGGACCACCGTTTAGGAGCCATGATCACAGAGATCGATTGTTTCGCGATGCCAATCTTTTGTCTGGGACAGCCGAAAATTGTGCAGTGTGTAGAAGGCTTAAGGAACCTATGATGTCAGTAGGCAGAGCTTCCATTACAGACCACAGTTTGAAAGGCGGCATCTTTAAAAGCCATCAGAGTTCAGGTAAAATTAACTCTATTAATTAAAGGTTTTAACAACATTAACACAACAATTAAGTATGTCGGTTCAGCCACTACAGACAGCAAATTGAAAGGCGACATTTTTAACAATTAAATATGTCAGTTCAGCAGTGGTCGGCAGAGCAGATCAACACTCTCCTTCTGCAAGAGATAACAAGCGATTCCGGTCACATGTTGGTGACATAGAGGGTTCTGCTCCCTCCCAGTGGAAATGTGAGCTGGTTCTGAATGAGTGCCACTCTTGGCCTAGCTCTGGCACCAGCCCCAGTGGAAAAGTAGTACATGATCCTGTACTGCTACTGTGGGCTATACCTCCTTGCCTGACAAACTAGATCGGCTGTTGTGGTGTTGCCAGACTAGCCCTGTTTGTCTCCAACCTGCATATCTCCAGGATTTTGGCCAGCTTGCACAGGACCCGGGTGTGCCGCCATCTGTAGCAGCCTTGCATCAGTGCTGCTTTGCAAGCAGATAGTATGTGCTGCAGGCTTGGGTTCTTGGAGTTACAGAGTAGGCAGGACTCCTCTGAACTGTGCCACAAGTGTAGGTTCTGAGGCCGTTCTGAGGAAGGGTGTCGTACAGTATGTAGCCCGGATGTTGTAGCTCAACGTTGATGGGGTATTCTCCACATGTCCGCCACATGTGTTTGCCCCTTTAGTTAATAATTCCCAAGTCTATGAAACCCCATTCTAAATGGGTTTGGCTGGACAAGACACAACCAGACCTGATTACTGTAAGCCCTGTTTAATTAATTCAAGACTTAAACAGAACTTTTGAATGGCATGAAGTTAGTTAAAAGGCCTTGCTCATTAACATACTATACTACAGGTTAAATAAATTCTAGAAATGATGAGAAAGAAGGTGAGTGAAATACATCAGTATCAGAAGGGTTACATAGAAAAAAGGAAACTCTGCACAGTCTCACAAAATGTGATGATCTTGTCTACAACTGCCTCCCAGGTTGTCCAATACCATTAACCATTATGCATAATTATTAAAATATGACTTAGTTTTCATTCACTAAAACTAGACTAAAATTCCAAGAATTCAGACTAGTCAGTCAATCCCAGAAGTCAACTAAAACTTGACTAAATGAAAATCAAAATAAACAGGATAGGTTGACTAAATATGACAAAAACTGAAAAGGACATTTGTCACAGGACTAAGACTAAGCACAATATTAAAAAAAAGATGACGAAGAAAGCACATCCATGTGCATTCTCTAACAAACTGTCCTTGGCGGAGCAAAACTACAACATCGGCAACCTCTGAGAAGAAAGAGGTTGCCCTCACCAGGCCGATTGGTGTTGTTATTCAGCAGGTTTGACTTCTACTACACTTACCATCCAGGGTCGCGAAATGTGAACGTGAATGCTGGAAGCTGGACTGATGAGTCTATGTTCCCACCTTTATCCACCAAACTCTTCTGGTCATCCTAGCATCCATCAAACTCTCTCAGTCTTATGGAATTGCGATGGGTGGCCATGAATTTCCCAGCAAGACATCTATTCATCTAGGTCTGTTCAGTGTGTGCCATCTCCAAGTTTCCGTATCATCTCCCAGCAGGCCTATGTCATTCAGAGGTGTACTTACTCCTTACACCACTGCCCATTCCCCATCATCCCTGGTCACACTTGAGAGTGGATTTTATCATTGATCTCATGGTCATCAATTCACCTCGTGAATATGAAAGGCCTTCATCTCCCTCCAGTGTCTTTCAGTCTATCGTCTATCATCCCTGGATAAAGATCCTGGAGATTTCTCTGTGAAATAGTGTTTTCCCCATCTTGATTTCTTACTTTTTTATGTATATCTCATATTAAAAATCTAACATAAAACAAAGGCAACTTGAGTAAACACAAAATACAGTTTTTCAAGTTATTGAAGCAAAAAGGTTATCTAATACCCGCTGGGTCTCTGTGAAAATGTGTTTGCCCCTGTAGTTAGTCATTCCCAAATCTATGAAACTGCATTCATAATGGGGTTTGGCTGGACTAGATACAACCAGACCTGATTACTGTCAGCCCTGTTAAATTAATTCAAGACTTAAACAGTACTTTTCAACAACATTAAGTTGGATAAAAGGTCTTGCGCAGTAACACACTATGCCAAAGGTGAAATATATCAGTCTTGGAGGGGTTACATGGAAAAAAAAAAAAAAAAAAGCTCTGCACAGTATCGAACCTTCCCATCTAAAAATCCTCCAAGAGCACAGTC